ACACGATAAATCATCTTTCCAATTAACAATCGAAGTAAAACAAATAGTTCTATTCCACAGTCGTTATTTGCACCGACTTTTAATTATTTATTCAAGATTTTCCGACTGAATTTGCTTCTTCGAGAATTCATTTGTGCACGAAACTCGAATGAAAAATATCTGTGGAATTCATCATTCGTGCACCATATTCAATTTGTAAATTCCCGGGCTTCCCTCCTTGGTGCGTGTGGTTGGTATTGCACGGCTACCAACTCCGTAACAAAAAAATGACAGGAGTTGATGTGAAATGCGAGAATGTGCATATGAACCCGTTGCTATGCGCGTATTTTTTTAAATATTGCTTCGAACAAAAAAATAGTTACATCAATGAGAAGCTTGTGGCCAATTTATATAATGTAACTAAGAGTATTTTTCATGTAGCTCGTCACGTTTGTATTTTATTTAATGGATATGATTCGGAGGTAGTGGAAGGGGCAGTTGCTTCGTGTATAGATACACGGCAGCGATCGGCCTGATGTTTTGTACAATCGGAGTCAAAACTTTTCTTGGCCGATACGCTGCCGCGTATCTCGATGAGAAGAAAATACTCCGAATTAGCGAAGGAGCATCAGAATCGGTCAAATAATTTTTCCAGCAAAAATAATTAAATGCTTTCGTAAAGGTGTACAGGAGAATAAAAGGAGTGGCGAACACAAAACAATTCTGGGTTGTGAGAAGTTTAATAATTATTGTTTCGCCCTCTGAATAGAATTGTGATTATAATTATAATTAGAACATATTTTAGTCAGCACAGAAATTCAGAATTAGTGAATCACTTATGGAAATATTGAAATTGAACAGTTGATGAAGCATTGTGTTCATTAATCTTAACACTCAGTTTAAAAAGAAACCCAAGGAAAAAACGAGAATAAGCATAATAAAAGGGCATTAACGTCGCAGTCGTGGCGGCGCTAGTCAAAGGATAAACTTATACAGGAAAGGGTAAAAAAAACTGAAAACTAGAAAATTTTAAACCGCCGATGAAAAAGTAATCAATTGACTTATTTAAAAACGGAAAAACTAACAAAACTGAAAAATTGAAAATTAAAAACCTTCGACGAAAAAAGTATCCTTGAGTAGTTTAAAGAAAGGAAAATAAAAACTCAAAATTTTAATTAGACGAATTTCAGAGAAACTGAAATTGTATTGGGATGCATTGAGCGATTCCACGCAGATAGTTTTCAATATCATCCAATGCATTTTTGCAATTAACGACTCCCTTGATTCGCGCGTCATGATCTCTGTAAGCCTTTCGTTTTCTTTGACTGGGCTGGCCACTATTCGTCTGCGTCCATCTGAGTTCCATTGCGTCCATTTGAGTAACATGAATCGACCCATAGCAACGTGGGATCTTGGAGACGTGTGTTGAAGGCGTTATGCCAACCTTCCACTGCATTTCTCGTGCGTGGTTCGTCATTTTTTACCGCTTCATAACAATTCTACATATCAATTTCGAATTTGGTGAGGGGGGTGGGGTCGGTATCGATGTACTTTGGGTTCGATCTATGTTTCTATGGCGATCCATGGCGTGTATTTAAATCTGAGCAGTTGAAATGTCATAGCTGAAATGTGATAAGTTGAAAAAGTATTAGTTGAACAGTCGGTAGTTGAAATGTCGTAGTTGAAATATCGCCCAGTTGAAAAGACATGGATTCCTCATCTCCAGATTTGAATCTAAAAAAATGAGTTCGTCTCTGTAGGATTCTATCTACAGATAGAATACAAATATAGGAGACAAAATTTTTAGTCATTGAGCTCCCATAAAAGTAAAAAATAGAGGAACAAAGGGAACATTCAATTTCCTTTTCAGTGTGCAGGGGAGTGGTGCCCTTTGCGGAAACCAATTAAAAAATAGAACATTTCGAGATTTTTACGAACGAATGAAACTTTGTTCACATAAGCACACGATTCTATGGATTCATCGATTATTCAATTCTCATTATTCAATTTCTCTAAAGAAATATCAACAATTAATGATGGAAAGAGCAATATTCAATAGCTCGATATCCCCAAAAAAATGTTTGATTCATTTCTCAGGTCATCACCCGTTTTTCGAGAGATGAATCAGAAAAAGGACTATATTTCAAGAGAATGAATAGCAAGACTATTAGAAATTATCAGAAATAATTCCAGAAGCGTTAACCATGAAACATTTTAGAGAATATTGAAAAAACCAAATTATGTATCTTATATGGACTGGCTTTGAAAGCTGAATTATTGGAAGTTATTAATTGAGCCTTGATTGACTTATACGGGACAACAGTTTTAAATAGCGTGCAATAGATTGGTCTCAAAGCCACTTGGAACTACACCAAGGCGTAGCTTCTTCGCATATACTACTGTCGAACGATTGTGGATACCTATCTCACGAGTGAAGATTTTATGATACGTTTTCCGGTTTTTCTTTGACTGAAATTATCAAAAAGTTTTCGATGGAACCATCGTGTTTTGTAGAGATTCTTTTACACTTTGTCTAGATAATACGAATTGATAGATTTCTTGAATTCATTCGTCTCCAAACAAAGAGTAAAAGAAGAGGTAAAAGTGCAGCATGCGTGACTTTATAATTAAATAACTATTAAATTTAAATTTGTTCAGTATATCACAATTTTTGATTACCTTGTGGGTTTTTTTTTATGTCTAAATCCTCCACGATGACTGTAGAAACCTAAGGGCGGATAGTAAAATTCTCTCTAGGCCGACATGTAGGAGCTCGAACCTCTCAATCTTTAACAAACATCAAACCATATCTCCAGAAACTTCCCAATCCTGCACGGAAACCAAATTAATTGGACACTTCGATCCTAAAACAATTAATCAACAGTATCAAACAACTGAGATCACCACATTTCACGTTACCCGAGGCCGCGACGTGGACGCACTGGTGCATCGGCCTCAAAGAAGAACCAATACACCCTACTCACCAACACTACACTCGGGATAATTTTTCTAAGATCATTCAATATTATTAACAGTGTGGTCTATAATCGAGTACAACAGCCAACCAACACTCCGTCTGATCCCTCAGACACCAAACTCCGCTACCCCTCCTAGTAGCAATTTATAAATTTAACAAGAGTTGATACTGTGCCTCTTCAAATTTCTGTCGACACCTAGGTAATCGCATAGGTACCCGCTAGTCTTCTCGAATAAACATGGTCCCTATCGATTTATTTTTCAAGGCGGACATCACTGGTTTCAATCATTGGAGTATTAAATACTTCTTGATATTTTTTTCGAAAATTAAACATTTCATGTTCAGATTTCAGCGTTATAATTTACAATTTATTTTTTCAAAATAATTTCCGGTAACAGTATTAGTCCATTTTTGGATGCAAATTTAATGCTAATAGACTACCCATGATAGTGAAAAATTTCTCGACCCTCTCTTGATATTTAAATACCCTTGTGAATATTTCTTGATTTAGTTTATCTTGGATTCCTTTCCTTCCAACCTCATATTTTTGCAAGTTATTTTTTAAATCTCTCCAGTATCTCTCAATATTTTGCGTATGCCAATTTCGGTTGTATGAATTAACAAATTGATATCTATGATTTACACACCTGTGAATATATCCTTTTTGGGTCAACCCTCTATAGCCCTTCCACCCATCAGTCACTATAGTTGTTCTCTTTTTCACGTATTTATCAATATAAAATTGTAGAGTCAATTTCGTCCGATCTTGTACTGGCACTGTTATAACTTGCTTGCTATCACGATCGAATATTCTGAATATCCACTGGCCCTGGGCCTCTCTCCCTCGATTATATTTTCTCCCTCCTATTCTGGTCTCGTCAACTTCTACTGTCTTATCCCTCCCCCCCTAACTTTTCGTTAACACGTGCCTCAGACCACGCAGAAAGTATCTTGTTTACTTTTTTTT